GTCCGTCCTACCTTCACATCCCAGTGCCACAACATAGCCTCTCCATCCACAGAGGACATAGGCTGAAGAAGTGTTCAACGCCACTTGGAAACTAAAAAGCATTTCTTGCTCACTGGCCCCTTCCCAACAATCCCCAACCCCAAGTAAATGATTAAAAAAATCTCTCAATGTTCAGTTCTCCCACTAATCACTACATACCCAGTGCCAATATTTCTAACAAGTTCATTTGACCATTAGAATTGTGTCCCCTTAGCTGCTAACAAATAAACAGAGTTGAACAAGGTGTTTAAGTATAAGCTTCATTTATAAGGCAAAGAAAAACCAATTGAAATCATCATATTCTTTCCCTTATCTCACTGAAACAGCTTTTAGTTTCCCAAAGAAACAAAGGTAGCAATTATTTTAAAAGGAGAACATCTCTCCCTAGATAGCAATAATGGTTTGATTTTTAATCATGAGCTAGAAATACTTCATTACCTTTGTCTTTGCTTCTAAGAGGTAGCCTTGAGAGAAAGTGATTAACATGTCAGTCTAAATTTGCATCCTCCCACCCTGGTGAGTTTATATATGTCGGTCTAACGTGGAAGATGGGACCTAAAGTTGTCTATTCAAGAGAAATATTCAACTCATAAATTCTCTAAATGCAAGCACTTGCCTCTACTTTGTGCAGCCTGTCTTATGTGAAAACTTACAGAATGTAGTAGACAGTGCTAAAAAGTGCAATTGTCTTTGTGAGGCTTAGGGGAACTTACATTCTCTGTAGTTTGAATATGAAATTTCTCCCATAGGTTCAAGTTGCTTGAACTCTGGTCCCCAGCTGGTGGTGCTGCTAGGGAAGGTTGTTGAGCCTCAGGAGTGAGTCTCTCAGAGGAAGTGAGGGCTTCAAGCCAGGCCCCACTTCCGGTTTACTATGTTTCACATTCCTGCTGCCCTGGCTTCCCTGTCACAAACGACTGTATCCCCTCAAACTTTTAAGTCAAAATAAACCTTAGGTTGCTTTTATCAGAAATTTTGTCACAGCAATGAGGAACATAACTAATACAGTCCTGAAGATTATATCAACAAATATCAATGAAGACCAGCATGTGGCTATGTGGCTCCTGGGATATTATTGCATCTTCTCAAAATGCCTGTGGAAATCTCACAGGTGAGGTCATAACGGTGTGGGCCTGATGTTCTTCTGGAAGACAAAATGGCAGGAGACAGGAAGAGACTGGGGCTAGGAAAGACAGTGATTGCTGGTCACCAGATGCTCACCAAAAGCAAAGGACTCAACTCTGACTAACAGGAGAACATGGCTGTGGCAACCCTGAGATTGGAAATGTACCTTGACAACTGTGAAACAACAGACTTCTGTCTTTGACACCCAGTTTGTATCTTATAGTACCCTAGGATGCAAATACCCATGGTATGAGCAATGTGTACAGAAATGATTTAAAAAAAAAATCGCTTGAGCAATATGTGAAGTTAAAAAAAAAACAAAAAACCATTTTCGAGGATGGGATAAAAAGGGAGATTAAACGTGGGTAAGTTCCATTCTGCTGAATTCAGTCTATTCGGCATGACTACAGCAGACACACGGATCTGCCATCTGTTTAGAAAACTCCCCATCAGGGCACTTGGAATTTCACCATTTGAAGCAGATGGTCAAGCATCTTTGGGGAGGCAGAAATGAAGCCGCTTTCATGAAGCTGTGAGTCAGCTACTGGTTTCCTCTGACAGGCGGAGGAGCTCTGGGCCACTACAGATGTCTAAAAGAGAAAGAAAAGGGGCTTGGGAGGGGCCAAGATTAGACGTCTGAACCCACATAGATGCAATGCTCATGAGCTGTCAACTCAGTGCATGTAGGAATGGTGTCTGTCTGTGTTCCTAAGCAGTTACTTCATTAGCATGCATTAACAGAGCAACTAAAGGCATATAATTTGCATTGATCACACTCACTTTTTCCTAGTGCTAGGAATCAAAGCCAGGGCTTTTTTTGAACATACTAAGCAAGCTTCTACCACTAAGTTATATCCCCTGCCCTTTGTGTGTTTATGTTTATTATACCTCTAGGTGCCTAAATTCCTTCTTCCAATAAGCATACAATGGGATCTGATGCTTATCAATCTAACAGAATTGACTTCATCTTTCCAGCTCTCATTCATTATAAGCCTCATGTCCCTAGAAGGCCTCACCTACATCCCCTCCCTTCTTTTGTGTTTCGTCTCTAAATGTCTAACATCATTGACTCAGGCTTATAGTATACAAGGATCTCATGGTGGTCTCCTACTTGTCAAGTTCTATAGGTAGGAAGCAACGCCCTCAGTCTCTCCTCTTCTCTCCTGGATAGCTATTCCCAAAGTACAACACAACACCAGAAAGGGGAGCTCTCAGAGAATTCAACATGCCCAGGTCTCATTCCAACACCAGAACATTAATCAAGCACAGGTCACAAGTCCTGTGACCTCAGCGCAGAGACAGAACCCAAGTCTCAGGTCCCCACCCACTTACTAAAACCACCTCACTGGGTTGACATGAGAAAATACATGTGAAATACATGGCATAAGGCCTGGAATAGAGCTAGCAAATGTTAGTATTATTTTATTACAATTAAATTAATAACTGACCAATGAGAATCTGAGACATTTGAAATGCTAACAGCTGCTTCTCCAGCTTGGCCTGTCCAAGTTAATATTCACCTGATTTGTGGTGAAGCTCCAGCATGACCCTTACCTGAGATATCCGGTTCTCAGAAAAGAGTCACTCCACAGCATCCTGAGTGACAGAAGTGTATCCCAGGCAAAAGGCAACAGAACCCCAGGACAGACACTGGGCAACAACATGTAGCTACTGACTCCCCTAGAAAGTTAATGAGGCTCTTGGAGGTATGGCACTGCCTCCCTTGACAAGCAAGTCTCTGGGCAGCTGGCTGGTTGACTTTGAGTTTTGATTAAAGAACCATCATATCTTTCTACATCGGTCAGTTTTCTTAGGGGTAACTTACCAGAAGGTTGCCCCTACACAAAAGGACAGATTCTCCACTGTGCTTAAGATGACCTTGCAATGTTACTCAGATCTTAACTTGGCATCCCGTTAGGAATGTAACTTTAAATACAAACTACTGTGTGACTGTGGTCCTTTTGTAATTGTCTTCATTCCTTTTTATTCTTTTTACTAATGGAATGTGAACAATATACTCAAATCATGAAATCACTTTATATTTTCTCCCAGACTACCATTGCATTCTCCAGCACTGTATTTTAAAGGTACTCACTGGGACCCATAAGGACTACTCAACAAGAAATAGTTAAATGAAATAAAACAAGAAATAGAAACCTCTACTGAGAGTCTATGGGCAATCACTTTCTATGAAACACTAAATTAACACGGAATTAGGACCAGTTTGAACAGAATGACCTTTGGGAGACACTATTCAAACCTTGACAGTTGATTGAGCAAGAAAATCCCTTACACCTACGGTCTATGCCTCAGTAGGCTATGTTATAGACACAAAGGACACACAGAATGACCTTGGGAGGAAATAAGAATACCTGTGCTTTTTAGAAAACACCTGCAAAACAACCTAGTCTGTGACAGTATGCAGCACCCAGGGAATGTAATTCTGGTTACCGTGTATATGTGTGTGTGTGTGTGTGTGTGTGTGTGTGTGTGTGTGTGTGTGTGTGTGTGTCTGTCTGTCTGTCTGTCTACTTGTCTTTGCACAAGTGCATGGTCATATACACAAATCCAGGGCAGGGCAGGAGTGCTGCCAAGCAGTGTTTGTAACCTGAGTTTTCTTGGCCCCGGCAGGTCCTGCCGCCCTTCTCTGCCCCAAAGAAGCACACAGACAGCTGTATTAATTATAAAGCTGCTGTCTTAACTTTTAACCCATAACTATGAATCCATGAGTTTCCATGTGTTCTTATCTTACTGGAGAAAGTCTGGACATGTTACTCCTCTCTCATCCTACGTGGTGACTGACTCAGCATCTCTGCAGAAAAGAGAAGAGAGCAGTTTCCTGTTTGTCCCTGCTTATATTCTGATTCTGCCCAGCTACATCACTTCCTGGGATCACATGACGACTCCTCTCTGCCTACACTTCCCAGAATGCTCCTTGTCTTCTAGTCCTACCTATCATCCTGCCTGGACAATCAGTGTTTTATTCATCAACCAATAAGACAAACATATACACAGAAAAATATTCCCCATCAAGTGTTGTTTGGCTCCAAAGGGACAAGAGAGCCCCAGGCCACACTGATTTCCTAAGGCCTCTGCAGAGCTCTGCCCTTTGCTGTATTCTGTCCTAGCTTTTCGGAGACTCTGGAGCAAAGTGCCTTTAGTTGGACTCTCAACAGGGACAGGACAGGCTCAAGTTCAATGTCTCATAAAATGAAAGGTCAAATTTTATCTTGACATGTAATACTTACCTCAGTGTATCAATGGGAACACACCCAAGGTCCCAGAAAACATATTCCATCATGTAAAATTCATCCCTCCATTCAGTTGTATTGGATTTTTGCCCCCTTGCTGTATGCTTAGAAAAATAGGGAGACAAATGTACCCTACTTGAGCTAAAAAAGAGTTTTTTAAACTTGAAATTTTAAGATTTTTATTTACAAAATGGATTGAGTCTTGCTTTATACAAATTAAAAAAATCTTTACTCTTAAAAATAGAAATAACTTCCCATACTCTTGGGATCAACTGTCAAGCAACCAAGGTAGTTAGAACTTGGTGTTTTCCTTTATCATCAGTCCTGGTAGATAGCACTTGTCACAGCTACATCTTCCCTAGTCACACAGCTGAGCTGAGGGCAGCCAAAGTTCTATCAGGTCAGGGTCTGAAGTAGCAAGATCTTCTCATTAATGCAGAAGCGATGCAGTACCACCATCAGGTTCTCTCCACAGCGGGAGACCTGGCGTTCCATGGCCAGGCGGAAGTCCTCCTTCACACCTTTGGTGATGCCTCGAGTGACTGTGTGGTGCCTGAGGTCAGCAACAGGGAAACAGAAGGAGACCACGGTTAGAAGTTGCAGCATAGGCTAGTGTTACCTGGGTAGGAATCAACCTGCCTCACAACTAGGTGTAGTCACACATTTAAACCAAATTTAAAAAGAAAAGCTGCAAGCAGATAACCACTCCTGCCCAATCTTCTCCGTCTCAATACTAGGCAGACATCTTTCCTGCCCTAGACTGGGTCATTTTACACAGCCAATGGTCAGTGAGATGTTACCTGCTTCACCTCTGAACTCCTGAAGCTCACACAATTCAGTGCCTTGGGGTGCTCACCAGACTGGAGACCAGGCCACAGACCCCAGAAAGGCCATGGTAACAAGAGGGACCCAGCATGTCCTAGCCACCAAGGAGCTCTCTGCCAGGCCCTTGCTCCAGAAAAGCTCAGGCTTCAACACAGCTGCTGGAGTCCTGAGTCAGGCCTATCCCCATGGAGCCAGTACAGAGCAGATCCTTGAGAGCTATGTCCAGCTCTCAGCTAGACTACTGTAGAGAAAGCAGGGGGACCTGCCTGGGACCCTGAGATAGAACTGTGTCACAGGCTGCAAAGGTACAATCACTGTCTGTGAGGTTCTACGAAGAGTAGAGTTCTCTAGGTGCTTGCTTGTCTGTGGGTGGGTTAGTGGGAGCAAAAGCCAAGAGGTATCTAACTGTGCCCCAAGAGCCGTGCGTTAGGATGGGAAAGGACAAACAGAATCCCATAAAGTAAGGACAACAAAATGAACAGAGGAAAAGAAAAGTCCAGCAAAACTCAGTGGACTCAACCACAAACAGAGGGGTTTTGGCTGCTAGTTTGGTCGTGTAACAGTTTTAGACAAACAAAATGCACCTCTGTTCCCCTCCCCAAATCTCCTAACTCTCCTCCAAGTCACAAGGTTTTTATGTAGTGAGAAAACAGAGGCCGTGGCTATCACCCTAAATGCTTCTGTTTTTAAAACACATGCTTGTGTAGAAAGCAATCAGGAGTCACAACAGTGCAGTGCAGCAGTAAACAATGTTCTGTTTAGACTAGTGAAAACTCAACACTGCAACAGCCCACAGCCACTTAAAAGGGCTTTATAGGAAGACAGCAGGGGCATGAGGAAACACGGTTCTGCACCGTCACTTAACTCAGTCAGGAGTCAGTGAGGCTGAGGGTCTGGATCCTGTTGCCTTGAGATACTTCTATTCTGGGTCCCCAAAACTGGACCAAGTACAAATGATGTGCAACTGGAGGCCATAGTTCAGAGAACAAATTCTCCCCTAATACTACCAAAGACACAACTAAATGTCTTGACACTGCTTGTCAGAGGATTGTTTCTATACATTAACAGATGTACAACTCAACTGCATATGCTCCAGAGCCTCTATGCAAGTCTGGAGGATGCCAATTACAGTCATGCCCACCCCCCTCCCTCAAATGAGGGACCGCATTAGTCCCCGATAGCCTGGGTACCCAGCAGCTAGGTTTGAGTAAATGCACACACACTATGATGTCCATGCAATAGCACAGTGCGTGACAGGTGTATCCCTAGTGTTAAGTGGCACATGACTATAGACAGCTTACAGTTTAAGAACAGGAGAATCTAGCTAATGAAGATGGTATCATTTTCACTTATTAAATATTGTCAATTCAGAAAGCTAAGGTCTAAAACAAAGCAGCCTGCTTTAAGGCAGAGGAAGCTGTGTGAATGTCTATTTAGAGCAAAAAGTGCTGATCGTTAAGATGGAAATCCACAATAAAAGTTTACTTGTGGTACATGTATGTCAACGTATTTAAATAGTCATGACCCAAATCTTGAATTTTATCAAAACAGAATCACAGCTTAGCACTTCCTCTAATAGTCACTTAATCTATTGCAGTTTTAGCAAACTTGTTTTCCTCCCCCAGATCCATAATGATTTTTAAATCCAACACAAACACACTGGCAACTCATGGAAAAAAAAATTAAAAAATGTTACAATATTTACAACCAGATGGTTTGCCAAGGAATGCAGAAAACAAATAAAAAACAAATAAATAAAGCATGAAAAAGAGCACCGAGGGACAAAGAGCTGAAACCATGGGCGGGAAAACATGTTGACAAACAGCACACTATGAGCAGGTGTTTTCCACTTGGTACCTGTCAGCAGTCTGTATGCTGGGCTGAAGCACAGGTAAGAATTCCTGCTGCAGTAACCCCATGGGAGGGCTAGAAGGCCTTTAAAAAACAGCAAACAGCAGCATTCAAACACCCACACCAGCTCACCCTGCACTGCAAAAACAACACTCCGGAGAGGATACACAAGACTGGAAAGCGGACTGTACAGAAACTTAAACCTCCACAAGCCCCTGGCCGGGCTGTGTCTTCAGGGGGACTGGGAGAAGCTGAGGGCCCCACCGCACCCGCTGCTGGTGCCAGTCTAGAGGCATCTTGGCTCCTGGTCCCAGAGCTCTTCCCACTTGTTATTTGGAGTATAAGGGCATCAGTGAGGAAGAGAGAGGCGAGATGGTAGTGGGAGGGAGGGTAAGATCTGAGAAGACATGATTGAAAACCCAGCCTCCTCACTCACTCCCTCTTCTCAAGCCCATACCCGTCCCAGACATACACCTGGAGACGCTGGCTAGCCACCTTAGCAGGACTGAAGCCCCAAACTGAGAGGTCCTTCAAAGAGGACTCAGAAGGACTGGCAATGTTTTCAATAAAGAAAGGGTGTTTGAGATTTGGGGGGAAACAGGGCTGGGAGCCACGGTTTTGCAGAATTCTGTAAGGAAGATTTAGCACATAAGCCGGTCATCACCCAGAGATTTTTCCCATTTTGATCCAGTCTAATGCAGCCATAGTACTGCGGGTATGCGCTTAGAAACATTTCTCTAATTTAACACATGTCAGAACAACATATCTATATAACAAATGAAGAACTTATGCCTCCTTTTGGCCTGGCACCAGGTGCCCAGTGTTTGTACTGTACCTGCTTGCATCCGAGATGCTACAACTAGGACGGACTCACAACCTTACCCCAAGGGGAGGAGAGGTACACTGCTCACAACATCTCTGCCACTCATCTGGAGGGACCACCCAAAAGGTCTGCAATGGCTTCAGAGAATTTGTTTGGAACCCAAAGGGAAAAGGAATATAGATAGTTTTATTCAAGAGTCTAATCACACCTCAGTCAGTCAAAGCTGTCTTACGAAGTTTGATTCTCTTGGCGTCATTTAGATATAGGTTATCTGAAATACAGATTTCAAATCCATGTTGAGAACCTCACAGAGAACATTCCTACAAGGTCAGGCCACTAGTTAACAATCCCTAGTCCTTTTTGCAAGCCGAATCAAGCATGGGTTTTTAGGAGGCTTGACTTCTGCAGTAAGTTCTAGAAAGTTAGTTAGGTTGATCAAGGCGGGAGGGTCCTGGGAAGCAGGACGGATGCCTCCTTGGACAAGCAACCTCTTCTGGTGCCATTATCTGGGCAACTGATAGATCCTCACTTTAAATTCCATGTCACAGGAACTAAGTGCAGGCTAATATTGCTCAAGTCAAGAAAATATTGCAAGGCAGGAAGGCCCAGTGAACCTGAGGTTCACCTGCTGAGGACTGTAGATCCATTCCTTCATACTGCCATGGGCAGCTGAGTGTTCTCTAAGTCATGTGGCAATCCTCTGCAGACTGACCCCTCATAGGAAGAGTGGGACTCCAAGACCATATATAGAATGACAATTTGACTGGTGAGTTTTTGACGAACTGAAAAGCTTTCTTAAAGATGCATTTGTAAAGTCAAGTTTGGAACCCAGAAGTCCCTAGAGAAAACTGTTTATCTGGGCTTCCATATATAGAAGCAATCCGTTCTCACAATGGTTAATGACACTTGCAACCATATAGTTACTACTCCCCATGACTTTGGTTCATAGTCAAAGTAGTCAATGGAGAAGGGGAGAGGACAATGTCTAGGACATCCTGGTTACGCACTCTACAAAGGGCCTCGTATGCTCCTAAATATCATCTCAGTTCCTTACTGGAAATGTTGAAGACATGCACTCACTTATAAGATGGGTGGGGCTCTTCTGTTTTATAGGACAGATTCTACTGGGCCCTACTCTTGCAAAGGCATAGTAAGGAAGGAATGCTCACCATGGGCCAAAGTCCTGAGTTACAGAAATCCAACAGAAGCATTTCTTACCTCGCTCCTTCAACACCCCTATGACTCTACAAAGACAGAGCAAAGTAAGGACTATAGCTCTGGATAACTAAAAGACTTGCTTCTGCCAAAGCTGAGGGATGAACGAGAAGGTTTCTAGTCTCAGCAATGTTTTCTTCCTGCTCTGGGTTCAAGCTCTTGGTATACCTGGCACTGACTTAACAGACACACTGGATATGCAGGAAGCAAGAAGGAAGTATACACTGACATGGTGCTAACAGCAAAGGGGATCTATCAGCCAAACTGCAATGAAGACTGAGGATAGAAGCGAGATTTATGAGCTATTTAAAAATCATGGATGGTCACTAACTTGGATTTCCATAGTATCCTATGGGCTAGGGGCACACCTGGGATCCAGCACTCCCATAATCATTGGGGGGGGGGGCAAGTGTGTTTTAGAGGCACTAGAACCAGCTAATTCACTTTGTGGTATGTAAGCCACGATGAAGCTTAGACGGGCTTAAGACACAGTTATAAATAAATCCTGTAGATACCCCCCTCCACAATCCAATACATGTCTAACCAGAAATAAATACTACATTTTGGAAAGGAAAGGACAAATAGAAAATTTCAAAAGTAACAAAAATATCCCAATTTAAGCAATGTTCTTTTTTCCAGAAATGTAGCTAAGAAATTTAAGTCTTTAAAAGACACCCAGAATCAAGTGGCCCCTCAAAACCAGAGACCAGGTTTGGATTCCTTTCCATTAAATTTCTGACAGGTACAGAAATTTACAAGTGCGTCATGCAAGCACATGAAGGGGGAGCACAGAGCTTCAAAGAACAAAGATTGTCTGCTTACTTGATGAGCATGCCTTGGTTTGGGAGTAATTCCAGATGGATCTTCCCTCCTTCCTGGGTTCGCAAGTAAGCAAATTCCTCCAGCATGTCAATGTCTTCGGCCACGTTCAGGTCAACCAACAAGTAACACATGGCCCTGTTCTCCCAGGTGAGGAAACAGGTGCTCAGCCCACGAAGGGCCTGCCTATTGCCCTCCAACTAATAACCACAGTCAGTTCTGATTCTTACATCAACCAAATTGCCTCATGAAAAGTATTATTTGCAAAGTTCTGCCAGGCAGGCCTGGCTGCGTGACTAAGTGCCATCAATCTCCAGACCCACAGGCCGAGAGGCACTAGCACCTTGTTTTCCTGTGGAGGCAATTAAACAGATTCTACATGGCCCTAAGAGAAATTTCTTAGTTAGAAATCAGAGACAGCAGGAGAGGGGAAGATGGTCTGGCTGATAGGATTTCTTCAGACCCAGCAGACAAGGTCTTTCAGATGCTCCAAAAAAGGAAGTATCTGAGAAGCCAGAACACTCCATATGAAATAATAGATGATGCAGTCTTCTGGGGAAAAGTTATATAACTTTGATTATTTTTTTTTTAAACCATTGCTTAGGCACTGGGACATATATCCTACACATATTCTGCAAATTGGCAGAATGTATTATGGGAAGCAATGAAATGAAAGCAAGCAAACTGGGGTGTATCCTCAATTCTAAGGTGGTCTTCCCCTTACAAACACGTGAAGTCACGAGCTGCCCATCTGACAAAACAACTCTGCTTCATTAGCATAACTTTGGCAGCTGTGATGGCGCAGGCTCAGTACTAAGAACTGATCCCAGGGGCAGCCTCTGCCCAAGGAGAGACCACAGGGGACACTTTTTCCATAGACAAAGGCCAAGGAACTATTTCAGTCTATGTTAAATCAACTGCTGTGGGCTTGCCAAGAACTTGTAAGCATCTTGGCTGCCTTCTTGGAGGTCACCTAGAAGTGAACGGTGGTCCTGGTTCCTTGAATTCTATCACTGAAACATCCCTGACTTTCACAAAGCAACTGCCACGGCTCCAGTTCTAACCGTCACTCCTCCTCTTCCCACAAACAGTAAAAGCAGTATCTCTATGAAATGGGTCACACTGTATGATACACTTGTGCTAAACATTCAGAAGGATACTTGTCACATAGCTGAAGAAGTTCTCATACTGGAAGTTTCCTTGCTGGCAAATCTTACTGATGGCTTTCAGGAAAAGGTTCTCTCCCCGTGGCCACTCCTGCTGGAGCAGTACAATCACATGGCCCAATGCCATGTCATCTCTGTTGTCTGTAAAAGCTCTCAGCTGTAAGACAGAATGTTATATACAAGAAAGAAATCTAGGGCACACCAAATATTACTTCCTAAAAGGGGCCCTAGAGGTCAGTATACGCTACAAATCATGACTATGAAGACAATAAAACTGGTGGTGAACATCACACCCTTCTAAGAAGAGTGGATTCTAGGGAAGTCCCAGGCTCCCTGAGAGCTCGGCACATGAGGCTAAGTCTTTAGACCAGCGTTGGACGTGAACAGGTGAACTGGGAGTTTTTGAGTTTGAGAATCAGGGATAGAGAGTTGAGTTTCCTACACAGTGATGAGAATAAACAGGACTTTCCGTTACTGTTTTCCCTATTCTATTTATTTAACATAGGGTCTTATGAATCAAAGGTTGGCCCTAACATTTGTTAGATACTCCTGACCTTCTGATCTTCCTGCCTCTACTTCCCAAATGCTAGGATTAGAGGAATGGCTCACCACACCCAATTTAAGCTGTGCTGGGAATTGAACCCAGGGCTTGTGGATGCTGGGCAAGCACCCTACCAATTAATCCATCTCCTCAACCTTAAGAGGTATCTTTCAGGGAACAACTGTTAAGTGGAAAGATGGGCAAGAAGACCTAACAGAAGGCCTTGGGAATTTGGTGCCAGGAAGGAAGAAAGACAGCAAGTAATGCGGTGTGAACTGCAGAAAAGGCCAAAGGTTTGGTTTGAAATGGACAGCTGCAGAAAACCACGCTTGAGATGGCTTCTTTGATCCAAGCAGCTCTAGCACTCAGGTTAGTGTGGGACTACTGCATACAGCAGCAACCAGTACTGTTACCTTTTGCACACAAGCCTACTGAAACAGCAACAACCCCACCCCAAGGCTCTATTCCACTGCAGCCAAGGCTTGTGGCTTCTTCAAGAGACTTGGAAGCTTCTCAGTGCTACTGGGCCTTCCCTGGTGCTGAGCCTTATGTCTAAAAGAATTAACTTCTCATACAGCTATGACCCCAATATTTATATTGGCTTCTTCTGTAGCTAATACATTCTAACACAATGTCAAAAATGTTTTTACTGTATGCCAACCATAACAGGCAAGGGAATTTGTCTGTCTGTCCTACTACTCACTACCCATACCCTTCCCAAGGATGGGGCTCATTTCCTATTCACCTTTGTCTAGTGCTGTGGAACTAAAAAACAAACAAACAAAAAAACAAAAGAGCACTTGTTAATTCCTAGCCCACAAAATTTTCCCTCCTGCCCGGTAAAGTACAAAACAGTTGTGAACAAAGCTGTTAAGTCGTGCTCGCTCGTCAGGACACATTTCAAAGGGAATGTGTTTCCTGCTACTCCCATTTTAAACTCACCTTAAAGCACGCTAGCATCAAGTGCAGGCAGTACGGCATAAGAGCCTTACTGGTACAGGGCAGAAGCTTCAGATCCAAACCTAACAGAAGGCCAGACTGTTAGTGAATATCAAAGAGAATAGCTTTGACAAGCAAATGTTCCACATACTCCCTCAATAAGGTAACAGTCACAGAACTCGAGACACAGCAGACATGGATGTGATGGTGATACTGATTTTTGGTCTCTGGATTTCATTTCTCAATGTTCTTTCCAACCTGCTAAATAATCATTACAAAAACTTTCAAATCTGTAGAGTATTACATAGAGGGAATCTCACAAACCCAATGTGCTTGTCAGTTTCTGTGTGTGTATAAATATCTAGCCTGTATGGATATATGTGCACTACATATGTGCAGTGTGTGTAGAGGTCAGAAGAGGGTCTTGGATCCCCTGGAGTTGGAGTTACAGATGATTATAACCTAACACAGGTCATCTGAAAGAGCATCATGTGCTCTTAACCACTGTGCCATCTCTCCAGGCCCTGCCTCTCATCTGTTGGTTTTATAAAATGCTAACATCTAGCTTTAATTTGGAAAGATTTTAATGTAAATCATCAGAAAACCAGTCAAAGCTTCTTATAGTGTCTTGATGTCATCCTCTTCTCCTGCCCCAGGGTAAACACGATTCTGAGTGTGGTGACAGTTACTCCGATGCAGACTACATGCTCAACCTCATAGGCAATCTGCAAGCCTCTGCCACAGGTGTTTGTATTTACAGACAACACACAAAAACCCTGGCATGCTTTCAGTTTACTATGTTAAATGGTGTCACTGTTGTAATTTATGGCCCGTGCTCTTTATATCTTAAATCTTTCTTTGAGGCAAGAAGTAGCAAGAAATAAATGCCTTTTTATACATATGGATTCTCCTTAACACATTATATATCTAAAATGATGTTCATTTATTTTCAGTATTTATACTTTGTACCTAAAGTACAAAGTATTCTATTCCATCAAAAAATAACATTTCTGTTTAGAACTCAGGACCTGGTGGGTAAAGGCCCAGTTTGGAAAGGTAGTGGCTAGATGAGGTACAGCTGGGAAATGGGGTGCTCTTCCTGGCAATGCCAACTTCACTATCAGAAGCACAGGAATGGTGTGCTCCTTTGTGAGCACTCAGGACCAGTGCTGGACAGTTGTGCATTTCATTTCCTTCTGAGATGTCTTTCCTATTTCCTGACATTTTTGTAAGTTGTGTTTATCAAGAAGCTTCCCACTGCATCCACTGTTTGAAATTTCTTGGCATGAGTGTTCTCTTACTGTCCTTTTGACGTAACCAGGATTTGTTGTGGTACTGCCTTTTCATTCCTGATATTGCATATTTGTGGCCACTGTCTTTTGCATGAAGCTCGTTAGGATTTTATCAATTTTATGCAGACTTTCACAGAAATAACCTTTGATTTTATTCATTTTCCCTATTGTGTTGATTCTGTTCTAATTATTACTATTCCCCTCTTCTACTGTCTTCATATTTAATTGCGTTATCTATTTCCAAATCTTAGGTGGAAATTTAGATTATTAGCTATGCATGAGTTTTTTCAAGCAATGTGGAATCAGATAAGGCTCAAAATGACCCCAGAGGAATATGGTGACAGAGGGACCTACTGATTAGTCTCGTTTCCCTAGTGCTAGGCAAAACAGGGAAGGCGTTCCTCAGAGGTAACAATCTCATCAAGTGGAATTCAGGGCTTGGAAAGCTGCTAATGAACACAGCCAGGAGGGATGTTTTCCACAGCACACAGTGGTGTGACCTCACTAGGAACATCGTAGCCATGGTCCTAAAACAACTGTGACAAAGAAGGACACTCCACTGTACCTTTTCTAAACTTGGGCTTCACTTTGGAGGGCTCTTCTTGTGGTTTCCCCCCATCCTGTATGGGTAGTACCATGTAGCACATCAGGTCCAGGACTTTCTCACATGTCATCTACAGGAGACAAGACCATAGATACTAACTGACAGGGCAGTGATGAATGGCAGCCATTTACAGCACAGAAGCAAACGGCGTGTGCGCACGGAAGTCTCGATGAACACTCAACAGTGAACACAGTCAGATTAAGACTAGGAGACAGCGGGAACAAAAACCTGTTCTTCACTGTTAGGAATCCCACAAATTTGCACATACTAATAAGTATATATGGTGCCTATCTCTAAACCATACAGCAAGTTCAAAGACAGTCTGGGATACATGAGACCTTGTCTCAAGAAGAGAGGAATAAGCAAACAGTACTGAAGCCCAATTTCAGGGAAGTCACAATGTAGAAACGTAAAGTAAAACAAGATTGTTGTGCTTTTCAGCAGCAAATTAAGTAACAGATTCTCAGTGGGAAGGTCAATCAAGGAAGCATGCATTGACCTGAAAAAACACTACACAGAAGATACCTCAGGTGCCATGGAGCCTCCCGGTACTCACTCTGTACTCCCCCAGTGCAAAGTGACAGGTGGCCAGCTGGATGAGTGCCCTCTGGTGTTCTAAAGTCCCCTGTCCTGAGATCTGTGGCTGTGAAAGGGATCCTTGGAGAGCTGCTAAGTGATGCAGACTGGCTATCGCCTTCTTATATTGACCCTTGGAAAGACACAAAGGCAAAGAGAAAAAACTTTGACATTAACATACACACAGAGAACAGAATCTCTGACGTACAACATTTTATATATACCATTTCTATAGGATGAGCATCTGGTTAGCAATTATCTATTCTCCCTGTCTGGTAGCTACAGAACAGTGTACCAGCCTGGATGGCAGCAGAGCAGAGGAAAGAAGGGCTCGAGAAGGCCATCTTCTACTCAAGTAATGCTGCTTTTTTAGGTAACCCCTACTCAGACAGACAAACAGTACATTCTCTCTCTCCTATGTGATACCAGCTATGAATGTTGATATGTGGGTATAGTGTAGACAGAGGTCATGAGACTAGAAAGGGGAACACAAGTGAGGAAAGGAGAGATGGGAGGAAGGGAGGGAGGGGGGAGAAAAAGAGGGAAGGAGAGAGGGATGGAGATGGTTGGAGGGGGTGAGGGAAATTGAGACTGTCTTAATTACTGTTCTATTGCTGTGAAGAGACACGAAGGCCAAGGTATGGGCTTTTGAATCCTCTAAGCCCATCTACAGTGACCTACCTCTTCCAACAAGGCCACACCACCTAATTCTTACCAGAGACACAGAAAACCGTGTACAGCCTCTGATGATCAGGGACCATTCATAGTGCATTTCACTCCTGTCTCTGGAACTCAGGTGACATTCCGTGGGTCTTTATCTTCTGTAGGAAACTGATTCTCTAGACTAGAATTAAAAGATGCTCATGCCACAGTAATGCCACTGGATCTTTGATTCCATCTTGGCTTAAAGATATAGCATTTGTGTAAACCCCAAGGAGTTTCTCTTTAGCTAAAGGTGGAGGTCCATTCTGCAGCTTATTGAGTGGAGATATTAAGAGAATGTGATGTTATCCAACCATTGAGACACCAATATCATACTATTTTCCTTTGAAACCTGGTATGGATAGAAATCACAAAAGAAAGTGCTTATCCATGTGTTGGGTATATTTGGATTCCTTCATGCTTCTTTGCATCGTATCTCACCATAAGACAATCTTTCAGTTTTGATTTAC